ACACACTTGTAACAGGTGTGTAACAGACATGTAACAGGTGTGTAACAGACTTGTAACAGACATGTAACAGGTGTGTAACAGACTTGTAAAAGACATGTAACAGGTGTGTAACAGACTTGTAACAGGTGTGCAACACACTTGTAACAGGTGTGCAACACACTTGTAACAGGTGTGTAACAGACATGTAACAGGTGTGTAACAGACATGTAACAGGTGTGTAACAGACTTGTAACAGGTGTGCAACACACTTGTAACAGGCGTGTAACAGACATGTAACAGGTGTGTAACAGACACGTAACAGGTGTGTAACAGACTTGTAACAAACACGTAACAGGTGTGTAATAGACTTGTAACAAACACGTAACAGGTGTATAACAGACTTGTAACAGGTGTGTAACAGGCGTGTAACAGACATGTAACAGGTGTGTAACAGACACGTAACAGGTGTGTAACAGACTTGTAACAAACACGTAACAGGTGTGTAATAGACTTGTAACAGACACGTAACAGGTGTGTAACAGGCGTGTAACAGACATGTAACAGGTGTGTAACAGACATGTAACAGGTGTGTAACAGACTTGTAACAGACATGTAACAGACACGTAACAGGTGTGTAATAGACTTGTAACAAACACGTAACAGGTGTATAACAGACTTGTAACAAACACGTAACAGGTGTATAACAGACTTGTAACAGACACGTAACAGGTGTGTAACAGGCGTGTAACAGACATGTAACAGGTGTGTAACAGACACGTAACAGGTGTGTAACAGACTTGTAACAGGCGTGTAACAGGCGTGTAACTGACGTGCACAAAGGAAAGTGTGGAGCTGTAACTGTGACACATTGTGAACAAATGATCAGAGTGCAGTCTCTAGCAGGAAGTGATGTGTACTGCAGTGGGAGGGGCTTCCCAGGAGCTCAGCAGGTGTGTCTCAGGAGTTATGGTGTGTGTAACAACAAACACCAAACAAGCATGTGTCCCTGTGTCGAGTGTGAGACCTTTAGTCATGGTGCACACAGGTGTTTTACCTGCAGTCGTTGTGTTACAGGTATGTGTTTGCATCCAACCTGTTTGAGAGCGGTGACCTGACTGAGACAGAGTGGAGTGTTTATCAGGACTGGCACACCTGGTTACTGAACCAGTTTGAATCTGACATAACCCTCAATGGCATCATCTACCTGAGAGCGCCTCCACAGGTAACACCACACATACCTGAAGTGTTGGTAGCAAAACACCTGTGTCACACATTTACTACACCTGTAACTCACCTGTATGTTTCAGCGCTGCATGCAAAGATTGCTGCACCGCGGCCGTGAAGAGGAGCAGGGGATTCCTTTGGAGTATCTGGAGCAGCTTCACTTCAAACATGAGTCCTGGCTCTACCACAAGAACCTCAGGTGATCACTACAGTGAGCAGCAGTGCTTCACAACCTGTATACTATACTTGTGTACTCCTGAGTCATTTAGTCATACCACTACGTAGTACCCCTCAGTCAGATATAATGATGATTCTTCAAAACTATAATGTACAACTGATTATTAAATTTAAATAATTTATTTAACCTTCTCAGGCATTTTATTTTTTCAACTCAAATTAAACATAAAGATAAAATTGTTGCCTTGAACGTGAATAAGTAATTAAATAAATAAACCAGGTAATGACAGGTGCAGAAAACAGCAGCGTCCAAAATCCATCAGAAACTCACCTAAATGAGTAAATTCTGTCAGATTCCATGTTTTATACTGGTTCTATTTTGTGTTAATTCTGGGATTCTGTCTGCAGTTTCTGCAGTGTGGCAATCATAGGGCTCTACGTATCTCAGTGCAATGTTTATTTATTTATTTACACACGGGGACATTTTTCCACACACCCCCTGTAATGTGCTCATGTAGCCCTGGTTGGGATTCACCACTGTAAGGTCTGCCTGTACCAGAGGAACCTCAGGTGWCCACAGTAAGATTAGGTGGTGTGTTCAGGGTTGGACTGTGGAATCAGAACTTCCATTCTCTTATCTTTGTTTGCAGGTTGGACTTTACGTACCTGAATGAACTTCCTGTTTTAGTTCTGGATGTTGAAGAGGACTTCAACAAGGATCGAATCAAGCAGGAAGTTCTCATCAACAAGGTGAGGTCACTGTGAAGAAGACAAGTTAGTCTGAAAACTGTCATTAGGTTTTTCTGAATGTTTATTTAAAACAACTTTACAAACTCCAACATCTATAAACAAATATAAAGTTTACATTAGACTCACATTTATGAGAAAGTTCACCTCAAAAACCTTTTTTAGATCGATTCAAAACAAATTTTACAAACAGGATGTGTACACACTGTATCAACACAAAGCAACACTCGTGGACACACTNGAAAGACATTAAAAATACAATTTAAATACAATTCCTTTACAGAAGTAGTGCACTTTATTTTCACTAAGCATGTTATTAGTACGTATATTTGAAGTTGTTCCAATTTAGCATGTGAAGGTACACTTCATACACTAAATATTGTCATTTTGTACTGAAGGGGCAGAGAAGATCTCTGATGTCCAGATGAAAAAAGATGAGGAGACATCGATTTTTGGCCAGCCGAAGAGAAAGTTTATTGAGTTCAGTAGCACGCTTCAACCGACAGGACAGGCATTCGAAAACTGAACTGACATATTTAGAAACCAGAACTTTTTATACCCCAGTTGTTTGTGATAATACAAAGCCAGGAAAGGGTGGGCTTTTCCCACAATGGGCTGGAAATTTAAGACCACCCAATACACACTTACTAAATGCATTTGTGGACTGCTGATGATGTCAACTTTTCCAGAATGTTCTACCAGATGTTTATGTGACCCTTATTCTGACCTTTTGTCCCTAAACATACTACTAGAATCCTCAACAATCCTCCCTTTTTGAGTATAACTCAAACTAAGGCTAACCATTTTTGTTTCATAGTGCTACATGCATAATAATAGTGAAGATAATAAAACTTATCATAATACCTTTAATATATAGCATAACATGCTAATAAAAATAAACTACTCTAAAAAGTGCAGTGCGTAAGCTAAAAACTGTGTTTAAAGCTCTAGGGATCCTGGACTTATCTTACCTAAGTTTRATCCATGCAGGCAGTTGCTGACACTCCCAATGGAGCCGAAAAATGTGGCTGGCCAGCATGGTAAAATCTCTCCATGGGACCCCCTCCCTCTCAAGGGGCTCCCACCTCTGGGCCAGGAGTGGCAGCACCCACCCATGGCTAGAGACCTTTTGTGGCCTTGCAGCTAATTCTTACCTCACTACCTGCCGTATAAGACCTAAGGCAATATCCAACCTTTGGATCGCTTAATGAATACATGATAGATAACACTTTTAGCATACTTAGCCTTAGCATAAATGACAAGTCATAACATTCTACTGAAATGGTAAACATGAATGGCAAAATAATAAATGACATTATGGACTATTAAATGCAAAAATGATAAAATAATAACATGATAAATGATAAAAAACCTGTAAGGAAAACATTAATGAGGATACACTAATAAAGGATAAATGACATACAAACACACTTAGAATAAATGATCAAACAATAAACAAAGATAAATGCGAAATGGTGTAAATTCTTAAAACTGGATTAACTGTTTCGGCCGTTGATTAATAGAAAAGTTTTGCATCAAAAGTCCATGATGATTCCTACATAAACGAATGTCCTCAAAAACAAAAAGATAGGAAT